CACACAGGGAATCCACGTTAAGTATGAAGAATTCCAAAGACAGGAAGGCAAGGTGATGTGTGTGTGTGTGTGTGTGTGTGTATATATATATATATATCCTGGACGAAGGAGTAAGAGATAGGGGTCTGAGGCTTCAAGGCGAATAAGGTAACTCACTGGAAGATAAAGAGAGTGTTTGCTGAACCATCCAGAGACAATGGGACACAGAGAGGCTTTGCTAGATTCCTCCCTGTCTACCACTGCTAATCCCTTACGATAGTTATCTATGGTGATAGCACCTTTCTGGGACAGGCCTCCTATAGCAAATTCTTTTAGTTGGTGAGGAGGAAGTTCAAAAGTTATTCCTGAGTCTTTTGAGCCTTGACTGGTTTTTAGCTCAAAATAATCTGCATGCCAGAGTGGTACATCTTGGGGCAGCCTGCCCTTAGCCTACCAAGATCACCTCAAGATTTAGCATCATAGGACATAAGGGCCCTTACAGACATCACCTAAATCCAGTTCTTTAATTTTTCAGGTAAGAAACCTGAATTCCTTTTACCCTCAGTCTCCTCTTATCTGGCTTGAGAGAGGAAGGCATCTTAAGTAACCAAGCAGGATCAATGACAGACTGGTTACCTGTTCTCTGTAGGATACACTTAATACATTTCTTTCCTGCTTCTCTTTTTATACTTCCTCAGTGTTCTAGTCCTTCATTTTTGGAGGAACCATCTATTATTTGAAAAGCAAAAAGAACCTAATTTCTACCTTACAAAAATGGATTTAAAAGCCCTTTTGTTCCAAGTTTCTTAATTTAAAATCAGGAACAAAAAAAGGATATCTTACTTTGTCATTAAGCAGTTGCAGTTTAGGAATAAAACACTTTATAAAGCTTCCAGCTGGGCTAAAACTGGGAGTTGGGAGCTCCCCTTCCCCCATCCAAGCTTCATTACATACTGCACTAAAATTTTCCCTTTTAAGAGCTGACTGTCTTAAAACAAAGAGCAAGTTGGGAAGAGCCAACACATTGATCCTTTATCAGTTTGTAGGGTGGAGGATTTAAAAAAAAAAAAAAAGATTGATCTTGTTAGGGCTCATTAACTGTTGTCATCTTTCCCCATTATTTTTATTTTTATTTGGTGGGCTGTGATATTTGAATTTTCAATTCAATCCCATGCAATTGTAGGTGAGGAAAAAATTATGCTTGACCTTTTTTGGGTCCCTGGCTAGTCTGAAAACTAAACTAACAAAGACAGATTAACAAGAGAAAAGCATGTAAATTTATTTCACGCAAGTTTTACATGATGGGAGCCTTCATAAAGAAATGAAGTCACAAAGAAACAGACCTGAGTATTTTTGTGCTGGGTGTGATGACAGGTGCACAGCCCTGGAGGAACACGATAGCTTAAGGAGCATGAGGTAAGTGCAGTAAACTGGGGGAGACTTAGCGAGTTCTTGGTTCCCTTTGTCGTCAGAGATAAGGATGCTCCTTTCTTGTAGGTATAGGGCAGGCACCTCTGATACCTGTTTCAGGGAAGAAGGTGGGGACAAGATCAGGGTGACCTTCCTGCTTCTGCCATTTCCTCAAACTCCTTTGGCTTAAAATATCCAGTATTCCAAGGTACCATATTTTGGGTTACTGTGTCCTGAACCCCATCAACAAAATCAAGTATATAGTCACGGAGAGTGTATATACGTGTAAATGCGCATTTACTGAAATTTATCAGAATGACACAGATCATCTGGTTGTCCTTTCTTTTCTGATGGGCCCATGCCCATTTCTTCACTCGTCTGGATTTCCTCAAGGCCAGGGATAGAGCTCATCCTCTAGGTGAAACACTTGGGTTTTAGTACATTGCTGTTTTAAAAATTGATTTCGCTATGCATACTCCACCTCAAGGAGAAAGGGAAATGGCATTGCTGTTCTTGGAAGTGGTAACTTGCTCATGAGTTACTTCCCATAATATATGCTCATCACCAGTTGATCTGAATTGATTTTTGTTTTAGATGAGGGGTTGAGGTGGTGACACTTGTGTCTCAAAAACACTTTATGCCATCTCAGGTTTTGTGGTGCCCTGGAGAAAGGTCAGTGTGGAGGCCAGGACTCACTTGTCTTGCTTGTGTGTGGATTATTATGGGCTCTTTCTTGACAACTGCAGGACTGTCCAGCTCTGTTACTTTCAAACTTTCCTGCAGAAGAACCCACTCTGGAAGCTGACAATGGGGACAGGGTCCCAGAGTCCTAATCCTGCTTCATCCTGAGAAGCAACTTGTTTATGCCTTCTCCCTATTGGATTTCTATGAATTTTGTAAGAATAGCACATCTAAAGCTAAAAGAACTTGGAAAATCACTCATCTAG